AATCTTGCAGTTTTTAAGACAGTCTCATTGTAGGTCAGGGACGGGAGGAGGCAGGACACGCGAATTTTCTGAGGATCTCTTAGGTGCTAACATTGACACAGTGGTCTGAACCCAGAACAAGGCTTAGGGCAAGTAAGACCCAGTCAGTGGTCTTGTTTTTGAGCTTCAGTCTTTCTGCTTTGCCCATGGCCTCAGCCCTGCGTCCTCCCATGCGCAGCATCCCTTCCCCGGGGTCCTGAACTTTCTGCCAAGGTCTCGATTCCTCTCGAAGCCGGAGGGTGCAAACCAAATGGGGGAGAGCCATGCCCAGGGCTGCTGATCCGTGCACTAAGCTCTTTCCCCAGCAGTCGTGACCAGGGGTACCGGGGTGCAGCAGGAGCGGGGAGCGCGGGAGATAACCACTGATGTTGTCAACGCTGCCGGGACTTAACGTATTGTTAGATATGGCAGCTTGTTTGCACGGGTGTTAACTAGCCTCTCCTGTCCCCTTCTTGTCACTGCCCAGTCCCTGCCACAGCCAATCTGTGTCCTAATCTCCATCAATTAACAAGAAACACTTTCGCCCCCTCACTCCCCCCCACCAATACAGACACCCACCCTGAAGCCTCGGATAAAGAGGAAAGAGCCCCCCCAGCCTCGACCCTCTCCCCCTTTACTTTCCACTAACTCAGCGCAACCAATTAGGCATCTGACACCCGTACTGGCTGACAAATTGTTTCTGTCATCTGCTTTCTGTCTTTCATTAAACGAGAGGCGGAGGGGGGAATTGAGAAGGGGAGGGGGGGCTGGGAGATGTGATCTCCCATGCTTAGCGAGGCCAGATACATTAATTACAAAACGGCCATTTGCAGCATGAAAATGCATTAATTAAATTTATGCAATCATTATCTTTAAATAGTCATATCTTTAAAATAATCAGCCCTTCCTGAGTCTTCCCTCTCCTCCGCTAAGTATCTCTAATCCCTTTTCCACCATTTATCTCTGGATCAGCAGTGGCTTGTATGCTTTTAAACTTCTGCATGCAGGAGATGCCTTAAAAACTCTGCTCAAATAACACAAGGGTGTGATACCTTCACTCTTCCCCTTGGCCCTGCAGCAAGGAGAACAGGCGAGGGGCACAACTCTACTCAGCACATTATAGGATGTGCCATTTTTTGGAGGCTTTTGATCAAGATATTTTCATAAAAGAGAGCTTGTAGCTGTAGTTGTGGGGTTAATGTATAGAGTTCTTTGCTTGCATTTGTACAGGAGAGCAAGCTATGTGCTGGTTTACATACTCACTTAGTAAATGTATTGCTGTTTTCGTTTGGAAGAGGTTTAATTTTAATGAGGTAACGACCCTTCCCTTTGGCGCAGACATAGCTTTGCCAGCAGACAGCTACCTTTCATCTTAAAAATCACTTAGTTCAAGGCAGTAAATGATGTTCATAAGAAAAGCAAGGTTTTAAAAATAGGCATTTCACTACTCTGATGCTAGAGATCACTTCTTGGTGGCTTCATATTATGATTCTAAAAATATTTTATTTTGGAGTACCAGCAGACATAGCCAAAATCAAATTGTGCTAGACAAATAAGAAGGAAGTGCAGTTAGTGATGTGTTAGTCCAGGAGCTTCTACTTTTATGCTTTATTGTTGAAAGACTTCACCTGTTTTGTGATGGCTACTTGAATAATCACTGCAAACTTATCAAGGTTTGTGCTGCTCCTCGGTGCAGGAGTGCAAAATACCCAGGGAAGAATTAATCTCATCCCCTGCTTAAGTAAGCACCTATAACACCACAGGAAAACTCCAGTCCAAATAGCTTTTAGAGAGCTGGAGGACTCAAAGAGGGATACTTATCTAAACTCAAATCCTCTAGGGCTTTCTTATCGCTTCTAGTTAAAGATTTTGTTCTGCTCTTTGTGTGTCTGCATCGTTTTTAATAAATCCTACATGGTTTTTTTCCCCTCTCTGTAATGCCTAGTGGGCCAATGTCCAATTAGACGGGAGCCGACGCAGTGGTATTTGGATCCAAACTTCATGTTGTGTTCAGCTAGAGTCATGAGTTCGGGATTAAGACTGGGTAGAATTTGGGGGAGGATTTGATGGTGACCAAATCCTGCCAGATTTCTCACATCTTAGGGGCTTCAGAGCTCTGGGGTTTCAGAAATGGAAGCAGACCGTAGCTTGTCCTGCACAGGAAAGTCCCCTCGACAGTCCAAGTGTCCCCAGCCTCCTCTTCAAGAAGTGCATTATGAAACTATAAGCTGTTTGGATGCAGCACAGCATGAACTTAGTGTAAAAGTGATTACAAGTAATGAATACAAAGGGCTCGTTTTCCCCTGGACCGTCTCTGAGAACGGACATTTCTGGAGAGAAAGGAAAAGCTTTACTATGGAGCAAAACAGGGAAAGAAGTTGTTGAGCTAGAACATCTTAGCTGTACGGGTAACGGTCTATTAAAGCCAGTGTTTTCAGAAAGGATCCCCGCTTTCTTCTCTTCTCTTTCTCCTATTTGTTTACACTAATGCCTCCACACCAGCAGACACTGCACCTTGGTGGATGCAGCTCCATTATCCCCGAGTTCGGATCCTATGAGGGTTTTGGGGTTCATGTTTGGCAAAAGCAAGCAGCTCCCTGTCTTTGAAATTACCACAGTGCTCCCTAGCAGCAGGGACAAGTCCAAAGGAAGAGCGCATGGCACTATGTAGGGCTGCAAAAGGCACTTCCTTGGCTTCAGGAGCTGTGATTTTCCTATGGGTGAGGGAAAAAGAGGTCCTGACTTCAAAAAATCATCCCTGTTGTAGCCTCAGAAGATCCAAACTGAGCTGAGGCGCTCCCAGACAGGACCGGGGTCTGGGTTGTTCATTCGTTAGGGTGAGCTGAAAAGAGAAACCCTCACCTTAAAAAATGCACCAAGGCCCACCCTGGGAAAGCAGAGAACTGAGAGAGCAAGCAAACAAGCAGCAGAGGAGCTGGCAATAGGAAGCGCTTCTGATTTTCCCTTTCTTCCATTCTTTTGCCAGCTTGAGTTATTAAGTGTTTGGTGCGAGCCTAGCTAGCCCTGCACTTGCTGAACTTATCAGGGTTATTTCATCTCCCCATGACCTCTCCGTATTTACGATGGGAACCCTGGAGGCATTGGCTTTGCTTAACTGGTGTATCTTACACTGCAGTTAAGCTGGACCTTAACTGATTACAGCCCTTGATTGATCAGAGGGAGAGGGAGGGGAAGAGAAAGAGGAGTCCTAGAGCAGATACGCAGGACTATCAGTGCACCAAGCAGCTTCGCCTGGGGCTGGGATATGCCATGCGGGGGATTCTTTGTAGTGCAGCTCCTTTCACATTTATAGAGGCTCCCCTCCACTCTCCAAAAAGAGAGAGACAGAGAGAGAAAAGCAGGCGAGGGGGGCCGTGGAGCGGACTCAAAGGATCTCAGGAAATCTTGTTTCGAACCAGCAAGTCAGCACCCGCACTCCATTACCAGTGTCCGCGGGGGGTTGTGATAGTGAGTGAGCACAGATCAGCTTAGCTGAGAAATGGGGAAAAAAAAAATAATAAAATGAAGGAGAGAAATGGAAAGGGAGGAGGGGAAGAGGAGACCTTTCTGTGAATTTTGGTTTGTCTTTGTTAGTCTCTGCCGGCGTGGGGCTGCTGAAGAGAGGAATAACACAAGTTTATAAAACAGTTTTAATTTCCTGGGACTTAGCTGTGCTGCGTGATCTTCCCACCCTGCCATTCAGGCAGATGCACAGCAATAGATTTAGGGCTGATTTAGCAGGAAACCTTGATACTGTTTGTTTATTTCTTGGTATTTTGAATCTCTCACCAAGCCCCAAAAGCTTTTTGGTCCCCGCCTGCCATCAGCATGTCTGAGCTTACCCAAGAATGGACAAATAGAAGAAAAGACACAAGCCCAGCCCATTTCCAAAGCCAACCTGAGTCCTTCTGCCGGTTTGGAAATGTTTAGGAATTCCAGTTTTCCATGGCTGTGCCTTTCTGCTTTCTCATCCCAGGTGACTTTGTGAGTTCCAAAATGCCACAAGCAAGATTCATCTTCCTGCAATTAATACCCTGTGTAAAGTTGCCCAGAGATGCTCCGTATCTCAACAAAGGGATTTTCCTATGGAGACTTTCCTTTCCAATGTAGTCACTTGGCATTCACAGAGAACCGTATTCACAGAGAAAACAGCATCAGGGTAGAGTTTGCTCGTGGTGACTTCTGTTAATGCAGTCTACTGCCTAGAAATAAGGAGGATGGGGTGGCTCAGTTTGCCAACCAGCACATTTGGGAAGCATTGACCTTCTTTTGGTTATTCTATATAAAATGTCTTAGCAATTCCAATTTAATCAGGAAAAACACTTTCATGCTTAGGTAACACAAGATGAATAATGATGTTGATGGTTAGTAAAGCACAATCTGCCCATTTTCAGAGGGGAGATACCCAGCAGTGCATGAAAATGAAACCCCTTTGACGGTTTTAAGATGGCAAGGCGCTGGTTAGCCTTTTGGCTTGAGTCTCTCCCATTTCTGGAAGGGGTGAGCCCATGTCTCTTGTTTTTGCTTGTTAGTGAAATTGATGCCTGTAGAACTGGACCCCCCTTTACCTTAAGCAGCTTGCACTAGCACGGCATGTCTTTTGGTTCCTCTTTGGTTATCCAGACTACTAAAAACTTTGCCATCTGCTTTTATCTAACTGACAGTAGAGTTTGGTGCCCTAACGCCAGGGATAGTGGCTCGTGTTTCTAGATCAAGCAGTTTTTAATGTAATTCCCATTCACAGTGATGCCTCCACCCTTCCCCTCCAAATTACACTTCTACCACAGGATTTCTCATAGCCCTTATTGGATGTATAACCCCGTGGTGCTTCTGATTCCTTTACAAGAACAGCCCACTTCTCTTTCCCAGACCATCCAGATTTAAGCAATTTCTCTTACAATTATAGCTAAGACCTTCCCATTCTTTTGTATAGCTTAGAAACTTTTCTTTAGACCTTCTCCATAATTTGTACATCTCTACAGAAGCAGGGTGCCCAAAACAAGATGCAGTGCTCCAGGTGGAACCTCACCATAGCCTTGAACAATCAGGTAATAACTTCCCATCGCCTTTTTTTCTAATCCTCCCCTTGTACAGCCTGCATTGGTCTGCTTTGCTGCAGCTCACCATTGCATCCCCAGCTCCATCTCATCCCCAGCATCTTCCCAAGCCCTCTCCATCATGAGTGTGTGGCAGTTCTTCATCCATCAAGTGAACAGGGTCATTTTAGGACACAAATGCTCATCTCCATTTCACCTGCTGTGTCCTAGACCACTCCCCTATGGTGCCGAAACATCCTTCAGATGTTTGAAGTCACTGAAAGGCATTAATGATATTTCTGGGTTTATTGTTCACTGCCAAACTGTACCACTGTTCAAGCACAGGCCCATAGTAACCCTTTCTGACCACTTTGAAGGGATCTGGTATGATCTGTCCCATACACACCAGAAAGGATTCGGGCACATTGCGTTCTGTTCCTGGCTCTGCTTCTCACACACTTTGCGTGGCCTTGGGAAAGGCATTTCACTGGCCTCCATATGTTTTCCAATGGAGTAGGGAAGGTTACGAAAATGTGATGTTACTGCTATACAACAGCAGCCACGTCAGCCCTGGAGTCCTTCCGTAGCAGGAAGGACTTGTGATTGTTAGCTCATATTCATAACACTGTTCTCTTTAGCACTACTAACATGGATTATAAATACCTGGCTAGATGAGGTAAAGCTGAGGCAGTGGAGCATCAGGTTTCTTAAACTTTAACCCACAACAAAATAGAAGTAGAGAGTTAAGTCACCTGCTCATTTATGCCAGTGTGAATCAGGACTGTGCTTGAAGTCAGTGAAGTTACCCTTAAAGAAGGCTAACGTGGAGTTTGCTTCCCGGGCTCCAAAATTTGATTGGAAGTGACATTAGGTGGAGAGGACTGCAGTTACCCAGATCAGACATTTTCTAGGTGCAAGAAGTGTGAAGCACTGTCTGGATCCTTGGCCTGATTGCAAAATCAAAATTAATGGGTGTACTTACTGGATTGGTTTGGCATATTGGGATACAACTCAGCTGGGTCTAGTGACTTAGAAAATATGCAAAATTAAACGCTTGGTTTTGTGAGTGCAGTGTTAGTGATTGCTACATAAGTCATTTTAGTCCTACCTAGGGGCATATTTGCATATATTTATCCTCCTTTCAAGTGAAGATCTTTGGGGAAACTGTATTTATCTCCTCCCAACTCTTTCTTTGGCTTTCAGTAGTCCTACAGTCACCTCTTCATTTTGTTTCCATTTAATGTATGTATAGAATAATCAACTCTTCCTCTTCCCACCAAGTGAAAATGAATCCACAGAGATCAAAAAGCATTAATATGAGGAAGGGTTGCCCTCTGCAAGAGAGAAGGAAAAGATTAGCTGAACAGGCTGCAAAACAAAGATGGAGAAGATTAAGCTGGGTCCCCACCAAGTAGCTAAGAACGGTCTTGGAGGACAGAGCATGACCTACCCAGAGCAGAAGCTGAATCAACCACAAATGGCAGAGAGACCAAGCCCTCATGGAGGAACTCAGAGCAAATCATTAGCTTGGTCCATGTCATTAGTAAGTCTGTAAGATCCAGCATGTTTCCCAGCATGGCCATCAGGCCCCTGTCAGGCTTTACGTTCCCTAGGAAGTGGTGTAAAAAATGTTGACACCACAGAAGCTGAAACAGAGAGAGATTTCAGCCTATAAACACTCTTCACAACAGAGAATTTCCTAGTGCCTTTTGCCTGATGTGGTATCAAACATTCCAACTGATCACATTTCCAGCCTTTCCCAAAGAGAGAGGATTTCTACCCATTCCTAGGAAAGCAGTCACAGCCTCAGAAATGCTACCCACTGCCAGGGGACCCTTCCTCTGGTTTTCCCTTTTCCGTTTCTGCCTGGTATCCAGCTTGCATTGCTTTGGGACCACCCGGCAGCTTCTCTGGACTTAACACCCTTCAGCTAGTTGCAGATCATTACGTCTTCCCTTCATTCAGAACTTAGCCAGGCTCAGCAGTTTCTAAATGCAGCATTTTTCTAAGGCAGCCTCTGATTTTGGACGCTTTGCACTGTGTCAAATCGGGTGCCCAGAAACGGAAACACCACAGAATCAGGGGTCACTCTGGAAAATGCTGTCTGCAGGCTCCTGCCTCCCCATCGTTTTGTTTGCTTGGGTTTGACCTCCTTACAACACTTCTGTGTCTTCCTGGTCATGGGGCAGTGTAGCATTACTGAGTGTAGATATAATGGTTGGACTTGATGATCTTAAAGGACTTTTCCAACCTAAATGATTCTATGATTCTATAAAGCCTGCTGTGTCCAGAGCCTGATGTCTCTATCGGCTGGGTATCTTAGCTAGCCTAAAGCAAACCGATAATGCAGGGCAGGAGGTGTAGGGACTCTGAGGATGCATAGCCTGTCTGGTATTTCCCGTAGAGCTTTTGACCACAGAGACTAGTGAGGTGCAGCAGCCAGGTCTGCGGGGGCAAGGTTTTATGAAACTTATCTGCTACCCTCCCTCTGCCCTCCCTGACGCGCTCACACCCTTGTCTATCTAAGTGGTATCTCTCCCTATCACTTGTCTGCCCCTTGAGCATCTCCTGCGCCCCCAACACACCCAACCGTGTCCCCCCAACCCCCAACCCTAAAATCTGAAGGCCTGATTGCACAGATTGAAGGCCCTAATTGCACTTCCCTTTCCAAAGCCGCATTCGTTTATCATAAAGGGTGCACATTTCCCCTGCTACAGTTTCCACGGCCAGAGGCCCTGAGGGCCAGCTCAGAAATGGAGGGAATTAATTACATTTTTTTAACTCCCCTTCTTTTAAATTATGGGAGAGAGTGATGAAACGTCCCGGGGGGGGAACAGGGGGGAGCTGCAGAGATGAGGGTGGGGAGGGAAGCAGCAGCAGGAGGCGAGGGGGGGCGCTGGCTCTTTCATCCAGGAGGGTCTTTGTGCATTAACCTTGGTCTCCCCAACACATCAAGACCCCTACCCCCTCTCCTCCATGACAAATGACCTCCGGAAAGGGTAGAAACAAGGCCGAAGGCTCCTAGCACCATGGCTGTTATTGACTTACCCCGAAGTGCAAGCCCACGCCACGCCTGTGACTGATTTGGGACAGCAGCAAAGGGAAAGGAGATGGGGAAAGGGAGAGAGACAGCTGATGAGAGGGAGGGGAAAGGGAAGGCTGTCAATCACTGTGACGGACAGGTAGCAGATTTCCCTCCAGATAAAACCTTACAGATGTGAAGTGGGTATTGATTTTTAGTTAGTGATGATAATGCACCAAGAAGTAATAAATTATAAGAAAGCAAGGTCAAAAAGAAAAGGTAAAAGGACTTTGCATTCTTGAGGAGGGGATTTCTCCAGATGCCCCAGACTTTCCTAAGTTCAAAAGTTGCCTGGAAAATGAGTTTATCCAGCTGAAACAAGAATAACACGGGCCTGCCGAAGCTGGAGGGCTTGTGTAGGGTTATCCGTGCTGGGTGGCTGCGTAGCAAAGAGGGAATAGAAATCTCCGGTTCACTCTTGTTATTTCTAACACCTTTGTGTCCTGGGGTGGGGAAGATCAGACGCTGTCCTCTGATAAACCTGTGCAAACAGAGTCTCAGGGGAGCTCAGCCCCAAATTGCTCTCAGCATGCCTGGAAAAGGCAGACGCTTCCAATGGTCACATTGCTGAAAAGGAAACGGGGATCTTTGGGGGTCCTGGCTCAGTTGAGCCCTGCAGCCTCTATCAGCGTTCATCTGCAGCACTCAGCCGCCCTACCTCCATGGGAGCATCCAGCAGGGATGTGCATCTCATAGCCACCTTCCAGCATCTCCCCTCTCCAACCTCCGTACAGTTACGTATCCGTTCACCACCCTGGCATTGTCGTGATGAAATATTGGCATCCTTATGTTTCACCACAGATTTCCAGAGGGAAATTTAGCCTGTCTTTTTCAGAAAGGGGTCTTAGGATGGGATGAATTGTCCTTCAGAAGCGCCAGTCTCTCTGTAGAGGGATTCTAGAGGATTAGCAGAGACTAGAAACTTAACTTCACATGGCTAAGGTTAGTTGAGTTGAGTCCTAGCTTAAGTGACTTGCACAAGCCCTCGTGAGTCAGTAGCAGAGCTGGGATTAGAAATCACTCCTGATTCTGACTGATTAAAGCCAATTACTGTCTTCAATAAGATTTGCACAAGTGTATTCTCCGGTCTCGGCTCCTCTGAATTTGAAGAGTGTGAATCTGGGTTTCATTTACCAACATTGCTTTACATCCCCCTTTCTTTTTAAAAGGGCCTTAGCGGAAGTGTTAATATGACTTCTGCTTGCTTTAAGAGCCTTTTATTTTCTCTGAGTAATATAAAGCAGCTGACTCTTTTGGGGAGATGGCCAGGAGGGAGAGCGCTAGAAAACCCTCTGGTCTGTGACTGGTTCCAGTTGCCCTTCATTTTATAGCGCACGATTTCTTTTCTGCACCTGCAGGGGTTGGCGGTGCGGGCAGTACGTCCGCAGTCAGGCAGCACTGCCAGACCTGGACAGCTCAGGAAGGGAGAGGCGAAACGGCCCGGCTTTGCGCTGCCTGAGCTGGAGCTTTCCAAAAATAACTCATAATTCATATGTCTGTGTTTTCGCGCATGCAAGAAGGATGTTTATTGTTTTAAACATCTGATTCTGCTTGCAAATGAAATCCAATAATGTCTCGTGGCTGCTGTATATGTGAGTGTCCTGGATATCCGTCAGGGCAAAGAGATGCAGGGTGTAACACCTATAGCTAAGGCAATGCTGAAGCTATGAGGTCTGTCTGCAGCTGGCGGGATGGAGGGGCAGAGAAGGAGGATTCGTAGCTGAGCCAGATCAAAGTTCGTGACCCAGCTTAGTGGAAGGTTACAAATAACTTTGCGGCTGGAAAACCTACCTTCAGGCTGCACTCCCACAATTTTGCTGCTGCATAAACCTTGAGGCAGACACATTTACGTTACATCCACACAGAAAAGCATGACAGCCCTATTCTCATATTAATCCACTCTGTCTTGCATATTTAAATGCAATTTCCCTTCTTCATCCCCCTGTCTTTCAGTCTTTGGGCTGTCATGGGGCAGGGAGTTCCACGGGCACATTTTGCACAGAGTTACAGCTAAACAACTTCATCTAAATACCTCGAGGCTTAATCACTGTGATTAAGAAGCTGTGCCTGGAGGGTCTGGAGAGCTGGAGGTAATTTAGGCTCTGTCTGGAGCACCGTCTGCCCTGCAGTGTAGAGACAGCTAAGCTAGGTTTAACTTTTGGGGACCAGTAGCAAACTCCAAGCTCAGTGCAGTAGGAGAGGGTAAATGAACCTGTCTGAGCTGCACGCTGCCGCCACTGTGCTGCTTTTACTTAGCTTGTTCAAAGCTCGTTCCTGTGTCTCTGTACCGCACTGCAGACAAACCCAGTCATCGGGGTTAGATTGATTTTCCAGGCTTTTTAACTAACCCCCTCCCCAGTACCTCCCCACCGCCTCCCCCTCCATGGGGGTCCAGCCACCCCTGCTCCCAAATTCCCCTCCCAGACAAATGCCTGGGAAGGATCTCAGGCCGGCTGAGTCGGGAGGTGGCATCACATCAAGAGAAAGCGTCTTTGCAGGACTCCTGAGTCCTTCCGGGGGGAGGATAAGCTTTAGAAAGCAAAGGCCAGCGCGTAGCCGGTCATTCAGCCTAAGCCCCCACTCTGGCAGGAAGGTGAGGGAGGAGGGGGTGGGGGAGGTGTCGGGGTGAGCAGGAAGGGGAGACGCCGCTCTATACAACCCCTCTTGTGTCCTTCCAGAGAATGTATCCTCCGCACAATAGCTCACCAGGCCACTGGTGGGGGATAAAGGACTCATTTTACCACTTGCCAGGCTCCAAATATTTCCAATTTGCCACTTTAATTGATGTCAATAAGGTTATGCTAAATTCGGAGATTTTCAGCCGCTCGGCATCTGAGCACTGGCCTGGCCCCCCGAGGTGACTGGCTGTCCCCTCTCCCCCCGCCCTTCCCCAGCACAAATACAGCAAGGCACGCCTGCGGCGGCTGCGGGGATCAACCGAGAGGCATCGGGGGTTCCCTTCCTTCCCTCACCACGGCCCCACTTCTGCAAACTCTTTACACTTTTAACTTGGCAGCCCGGGGGTAATTTTGCTGATTGCAGAAGGCAATTGCATTAAAGCACTAGCGGGATCAGGGTCCTTGTGTGAAGGCCTGTAGGCAGCGGCTTACCCCAAACTCACCCGCAGGAACAAATCTGGCATTTTTGCTGCAAAAGAAGAAAAAAAAGGATCGTAAGTTCATCTGTTTCAGGTCTCAAAGCAGGAAGATCGCTTGTGAGCAAATTTAATTACATTTTCAAACCAAGCACTACACTGAAATGAGCCGAACCAGGACCTGTTATCCTTTAACATTTGAGGGTAAAGAGAACTTTGACATTTCGGTCCCTAAACCTGAATCTGCATCAAAGCCAGAAAGGGTTTGCATCTGGTTTGGTTAGGGACCTTTGCAAACCAAGCCCCACTCAGACTTCCAAAGAAAGAGGCTATCTTCAGCGTCCTTTTTTGAAAATATGTATTTTTGCTCCCTGTCTCATGCGTCTCATCTTCTGCGAGGGCTGTGTGTAGGAAGGGAAGGGGGTGCTAGTTCATGGCAGGGCATGTCGAGCAGGTTTGTCCCAGGTTTATTCCTTTCTCCAGTGTTCATTCTGAACAGCACAGCTAACGTTGCTGGCAGGTCAGCAAAGAAAGACCAAAGATTGAGTGTGCTGTGAAGGAACTTCTCAATTATCCCTATTAAGGTCTTTCGAATGAAGCATTAGAGACAGAAGAGCCAACTGTGGGGTCTGTCTGTTGTTACTTCATGGAAGCAGGCTTTCATTCTCCAGCCTGGCCAAACCTATATTGATATTGTATATTATACTGATAGAGCACCACTATGTAGACTGTTTCACCCTGGTATGCATGAAGGCAGCTGCACAGATACCCTTTCTCCTCCAGACATTGACGTGTTCTCTCCTGTGTTTCTCCAGGTGATGAGCATCCTGAGCAACCCCAGCGGGGTTCCTCCGCAACCCCAGGCTGACTTCTCCATCTCTCCCCTTCACGGTGGCTTGGACACTACCAACTCCATCTCTGCCAGCTGCAGCCAGCGGAGCGACTCCATCAAGTCCGTGGACAGCCTCCCGACTTCCCAGTCCTACTGTCCTCCCACCTACAGCACCACCAGTTACAGTGTGGACCCAGTGGCTGGCTACCAATATGGACAGTACGGACAAAGTAAGTGTGCTGATCGTATTCCCCCTGCATAGGGAACAGGAGAAGAGAGGGAAGGGATGTAAGAAGGTATGGATATTGTATTGGAAGGGATTCCCATGGAAATCTGTCCATCTAGAGAGAAAAAGGGAATCTACTCACCAGACATAGATGGAGATTGCTCCACACAGCCTCCCCAACACCCTTGCAGTCCAATTCAAAAGTCCCAATTAAAATATTTTAGGTCAAACATTTCTATTAGAAAAGAAGGACAACTTCCAGACCTCTCTCCTTCCCTCTTTCCAATTCTTGCTTCTCCAAAAGCCCTACAACATGTTCACCCTGCTCAGCCAAAGGAAAGCTGGGATTTTATTGCCATCCCTTAGTGATGCAGAACTGTATGTGTCGCTTCCTCCCCTGCCCTCCGTAAGGTAAGGACTGGGTCCACGCTCAGGGATTTAGCTACTAAAAACGTTAAGCCAGTGCCCGTCAACTGGGCTGTGGTTCTGCGGAAGCTGAAGTAAGGCTGGAATTGTAATCCTGAACCCAAACCTCAGACCTGAAAGGCGGAGGGACCCTGGGAGGGTCTGTTTCTCCTCCAGAATGGTTGGGTCACAAAAACACCAGCGAGCCTGGCAAAGGGCTCACCTGCCGGTGTTAAACTAATAATAAGTGTGGTGTTGTGAGAGAGTGATCCGCGGAGGGTTAAAGGTGCATCCTCTTCCTCCGGGAGCGCTCCTGCTTGCCCATAGCTTGTCCTCAGTGACCTTTCCTTCCATTTGGCTGTGGCTTTTTATTCCCCTCTCCGTCACAGCCCTTTAATGTCTTTAACTTCTACAGCTAAATGAGAACCGGCTGTGGCGGCAGACGGGATCAATAGCAGCTTCCCCCCACCCCTCCTTTTTTTGTTTTTCGGGAGTTTGATCTGTGACCCCTTGACCTTCCCCTCGCTTCTGGATGTGAGGCTGGACACACGTGCTATTGATAAAAATCTTAAACAAATTCCAATACCATGTATTTCCAATAAAGATTCCTTTGGGCAAGACGTTAGTCACACCCATGTGTGTAAAAAATAAAATAAGGAGGACGAGCTACGTTTTCTGAGAGACCAGCAAAGGAGAAGGAAAGAGAAAGAAGGGTTTGTCTTGGTTTGCTGCAGGAATTTTTACTTGGGCCTCTCCTCGTGCTGATGAAAAGCTGCTCACGCAGCCCTACTTGTTGTTTTATTTGCCCCCCTTTCCTGATTTCTGTCACACGGCGCTCTCTTTTCTGCTGGACACCCATTCAATTTACAAGTCCAGTTTAGAGCCCACTGGGCTCGGTTCGGAACAGGGGTGTTTTCCTGTTAATAGTCATGAGAGTCCAGGCTGCCAACAGGTCTGTGCCCAGCAGCAAGTCTTGCGTGGTCGACAGAGTTAGTCCAGACGTGTCCCATACCTGGAGACACACAGGTAGCTGGTCATGAAGGCGTTCTTCCTGCTGGGGCAAGGAAGGTAGGTGAGAAACCATGATGCACCATCCACAGTGCCACTGCTTCCCAGTGCTGGGAGCTGGAGTCACACCCAGCGTGATGGCAAGTCTTACAGCCAAAGCCAATGCCATGCTGCGTGGCAGATGCAGCGCAAACCAACTGTAGCTGTTCTAAGGTGGGATCTATGTTAAGCAGCAAATTCCACATGTGTGCATGTATACGTATATATATATTTGTATTTACAGCTCTGTACAGGCAATATGTAAGTCCACTTCACTATAAACCTTTCTTATAATGAGCCCCATTTATAATAATCTCTATGCGAGGAAACAGTTTTCATTGGTAATTAGTCCTGTTAGAGCAATCACTTACATGAAGTTGACCTTGATATAACAACACTTTTTCTTGTCTTTCTCAGTGCATGCTGTATTTAGCAGATACTTCTAATTCCTCCTGCTTTTTAATTCTTCACTGCTTCTTTTCAAATGCTGTTTAAAGGCTGATCGGTCTGAGGCGACCTCCACAAGATCATTTATTGATGTTCAGTTCAAATCACATGGTTCTTCCTTCTATGATGCGGCAAAAAAGTATCAAAACTCTTTTTAGTGAACACTGTGATATAATAAAAATGGGGGGTTGTTATGGTGGGGGCAGGCTCTGTATAACAGGGGACATAACCAGGGCTTGTAAATAAGAGCTCTGTAGCTTTGATAGGCTTTGGACCTGGCCTGCAGAGAATCTCTCTCTCCCCACTTCTCTCCTCCTTATTCTCTGTTTTAGAAACACAAAACCAGACACGCTTTCTCTCTCACATAAGCAAATAAACACCCAGAGTACTTTTGGTAAGTTTCTGGTTTTATTTTGGCTTCCACTGTATTAAAGCAACAAACCGTGTCTTTGACTTCTGGCGTGGGATAACCTGGTGCCTTTGAACTCTTTCCACTGGCACAAAAAGCAATATTGGGAGTTTAGCGTGGTTTTTTTAGAAGGATGGGATTGCCATCAAATTTCCATTTTGATGGGTACTACCCAGAGCAGGATGACCGGCTCCAACCATTCGTCTCCCTCCTTTCCCAAGCACCCATCTGAATTCACCCAGAGCACAGGTGACAACAGGATCAGAGGCACAATCACACACACACACACGCAGTGTGTCCGAGGAGTGAATCTCCTCCTTCCCTACAGCCTCTCAAAGACATTATTTAATGTGGTTACCTGAAATATCGGGGGACCAAGCTGATAAGGTCTGGATGAGAGCCATAGCTTGGGATTTAATGCTATGTACACCCTTGAAGCTAGAGGCACCATAGCACATTACAGAGCCCAGCGCTCGAGTCAAGCTACTCCAGGATCCCAGTCCCCAAGGAGCGCCAGCCAGCGTGCCAGCTCCACTTGCCTAACTCAGCTCCTTTCAGACTCTGCCGCCTGCAGAAGCCATGCTCCCCAGCAGGCCTCGCTTCGGCCCCGGGTAACTCACCCTGTGCCGAGCCTGCTCGCTTCCAGCATGCTGGCCTGCCAGCACTTGCCCAGCCTGTGCTGTTCCAGCCGGTGAGGAGCAGAGATGCCAGATTAATGTGGTCCTTGTGGTTCCCAAAGGCCGGAGCTGTGTTAATGATGCCGGTGATGGAACGCAGAAGCGTGAAAGGAATTCTAATAGATATGACAAGTCTAATAAGAATTTGTGTCTGGAAGGGACCTCCTCTGGGGCAGGCATCTGACAAGACGTTGATGGCTGAAATTTGTTTACTCATTGGCACCGATTGTACATCTCCTGCCAGCTCCTTATTAATCTAATTTGAGACATTAAAGCTAGTGAAAGGGAGAGACTTTGACTGAAGCTCAGCTAATGAGCAATGTCACCATCCTGCCCCGGTCCTCTTCCCCCTCAGACCATGGGGCAGTCAGACAAGCTGGGATACAGGTTCACGCATTACCTCAGGAGTTGTGGCTTCGTCTCTCACCCAGATGGAGATAAGCAAAGTGGTTTCCCTTAGGAAGGGTGGACAAAGACAGGCAGCAGAGCTCACAGAGATGAGTCAGCACGCAGCAGATAAGTCAGATTCAAGCCCCGTCCAGACTTGGTGAGCTTCCACTGAAATCTCTGGAATCATTTACACCAGCATCACTGAGTGCAGGAGTTGGCTTTGCCACCGTGAGATGATACAGGGAGGTGAGGCTGGAAGGCTTATCCCACTGGCTCTCTGCTCAGGCTCATCTTCAGGCAGCTCCCTTGGAAACACCATTTTCCATGGCAGAAGTAGAATTTTAGCTCTTTTTGGTAGGTCCATGGAAATATTCAAGGAACTGCAGCAGCATGTGCAGAGTGCACTCTGCACACCACAGCTGCGCTTAACCCCTGCAGCGCCTGTCCTGTCAGGTGTTTCTGGCAGGACCATCATCTGTTGCACTCTTCCCTAGGAGTGCAGCAGGACCCTCGTGTCTGTGACAACCACTGCATTGGGCCTCTCTTTGTAAGAGTCAGCCTGCGAGGTCTGTTGGTTACACGCTCTTTGATGCTGAAAGCCTCATTTCTACTAAATGCTAATGTTGTGCTTTTTTCTCACCCTCCTTTTTTTCCCCCTCCTCTTCAGCTGCTGTTGATTATTTGGCCAAGAACGTGAGTCTGTCTACACAGCGTAGGATGAAGCTGGGAGAACATTCAGCCGTTCTGGGCCTCCTACCAGTAGAGACAGGCCAAGCTTACTGAAGAGTCCGACTGTGCCAACAACCCACTCCAGCAACTTGGTATCACTGGAGAAAACACCACCAGCCTTCCAGGGATCTACCTGTACCCGGACCCTACTCCTTCCCAATTCCCTTCCACCTCGCACCAACTTGAGCTGTGAAGGAGACGGGAAAGAGCGGGAGGGCTCTCCAAGTATCCAGCTCCTCCCAGAGCACTCTTCTCAGAGGCAAGCCTGGCCTCTGTGACCTGACTCCTCCTGTGGCCAGAGACAACGAGTTGGGTACATTTATTAACCCTGAGTTCATGCCCTCCCTCTAACCTACCTGGCCATGGCATTTTGCCCACACTTGAGGACTTTCCATTGATCTAGGTAGTTGGCATAGTCAAAGCCAAATTGATCTTTTTTTCTTTGTAAAAAAAGAAATGTTTCATTTTGTTTCCTTTTCTTTCCATTGCTGTAAATTTGGTGAATGTTGTATAGGAAGGAATAACCAAGCTGATCATTAAGGGTGATATAATTCGGGACCACAGAAGACCTATGGACCAAATATAAGAACTTGTTAAAAAAAAAACAAACCACAAAGACAAACAAAACCAGAAAAACATATATTAAAGTGACAGCAAATTTCCCCACCCCACTCTACCCTTCCGTTCTCACTGATGGCTTCCCAAAGCAGGGCCGAAGCAGGCCAGATTGCTGCTAAGCAGGGGCAGGATGTAAGTCCGTCCAGCCTGGGACCTTTGGAAAGTGTAAATGTAAATTGCTGCATGAGGACTGAAGATTATGGGCACAGGCACAACCAACATTTACTTTTCCTCTTAGGGACCAATTTAGACCTGATTATCACTGAAAAGACATGGGCATCAGATAGCAGCAGGAGATGCGATAGCGGACGCTGGCCTTGCACGCACAGAGGAAGGGCATCAGATACACCCGATCGCGTCGGAGCTTTTGCCCATCCAGTCGAGAAGGGCGAGGACTGCCAGTGGCCCTTCTTTCACTCAGCTGAAGAGAAGCTGGCCATGAGAGCAAAGACAAGAGAGGGAAGAGTCAGAGGTGTTCGTTAGCTGCCTGCTTGGAGGGTTCAGTATGCAAAACCACGTTGTTCTACAAGTAAGGGGCCACCTGAAAGAAAATGGTGCTTGTGCTGAAGGTGCTTTCCCGCAGCTGCCTCTCACTGAGGGATGGATGTGGCCGTGGAGTCAGAGGGGAGATGACCTGAAGAGTCTTTCTACAGCAGCTAGGAAGGAAAGGTGCTGTCAGCTGCAACATTGCACCTATTAGTACTGCAGGAAAAGTTTTACCTTACCAACGGCATTCTTCATTCTCTAGCTACCAGGAGGAACGCTTGCCCCTGTCCATCCTCCCGGCTCTTCCCCCACCCCTCTCGTTTCGTGCACTATTCTGTACAACTCAATCTCTCAGTTCCTTCCCTCAGCTTTTCATTTAGGTGGTGGAGCCTCTCTCTAAGCCAGATCTTGTTCTCTGGATTTATCACCCCACTTTTCTGTAGCAGCCAGTGCTCTCGCTTTTGTATCGGCTCACAATTCATCACACTGCTCAGATAAAAGCAGCCAACAATAAGAAGTTATTGCTAAGTCATGACCCACATGGGTTTTTAAATAGTTTCCCTTTTGCATGTGGTAATGATCCTTGAGGATTCTTAAGCAGATGTCCAATATTATAGACTTTTTTCCCCTCACCTTCCTGTGTTGAGAGGGCTCACTTCAAGAACGCGCTGAAATTTGACCTGGAGAGGGCAAGGAAAGCTGCCCCTGAGATAACCACCCTGATGCACAGAATCTGTGCCAGCCAGTAGCTGATGTGTGAAGTCCAATGGCAATAGGCAGTACTTAAAGTCATCTACAGACTGTTGGGGTTTATAATACACTTGCTATTGTATATGTCTACTTCAGGATAATGAATGTCTGCTTTTGTCCACTGGCGGTAACGGGGGACCACATGGTCGGATGAGTTCTGGTCTAGCATATGCTCCTAGGTTGTTAAAGGAGACACTTGTGCTCTCTTCTGTTGTTGCTGCTTCTTCCATTCTTCTCAAATAATCTGATCTTGTTTTTGCAGCTGAAACAACATTTTTCTGGGGAACTATCCCCTGCCTTGCCCCAACATCATTTATCATGAACCAACAAGCCGCTTTCTCTTGAGCCATGTGGACAAGTACCTGTTCTGACCAAAGCAGAGTTGTGCTTCATACGTTGCTCAGCATCCTATCATCAGAGCCACATATGGCTTTCATCAGCTTTGCTTTACGGCTGTGACAGAGCCTGCTGTACATTCCTAAAAGCATATTATTACACCAGCTTGGCTACTCTGCCTCTCACACGCTCACATGCATGTTTCTGTGCAGAAGCTCTGTGCGGGGCGACATCTGCATCCAGAGGCTGTATTGCTGTCATTTACGCTCCAGAGATCCCAATTCAGCCTCTGCTTGTCCAGCTACATCCCACATAAAGCTTCCCTCTAGTTGCGAAAGACTTTCCTTGGATCACAAAGCTTTAAATCCCTCTTGAATTCCAGTCCTGGCTTAAATGTCATTCCCAATAACAGTAACCTTCAGCCACACCTGAACTGGGGGATCGAGGGTGAGAGCAAGGGTGTCTCCATGATAGACACTAGCGTAGGGGTTAATGACTGAAGCACCTGTTTGAATTTGCTCCTGTCTCTCAGTATCATTCTGAGCTGCCTGCTGAAACAACAGAGCGCATGATTTTCTTGCGTGCCGCGTTTAATAGTATTTAAGAGGCCAAATGCCAATAATCACCCCATCTGGGAGCACCTTCAAATCTACATCCTTGCGACTGGAAGATGGAGTTTGTAGACGGTGATTGCTGGCCCCGTATCTGCCCCAGACAGTTGCAATCCCTTGTTCTTTATACTGAAATTTCTGACCAAATACATTCCTAGCTGCCTGCTAAACTAGAAAGAAAGTTTCGGTTTGTCACGAGAATTGCTTGTCCGCTGCTCCTGCTCACAAAGACCTGTCACCTCTCTTCTCCCCTCCGTTATCTATTCTCCCGTGCGTGTATACACGTCTCCCAAGCATCCCTCAACAGTGGACAGTTGGTCCTCACTGTGAGCATGTTGTCGAGGAGGACTTCAGCTGAGCTCAGCGCAGAGTGCAGGACCCCAAAAAGAAAAAGTATTAAAAAGAGGGAGCGCTGTAGAAACCTGTTTGCCAATTACCTTCACCAGAAAGTCCGTGAACACCCGGGCACTGCTGTAAATAGAGTTCTTAGAGGAATATGAAAAATGCCCCATGCTAGCGCAAATAGCTATTCTCTGACCTTTCCCTCGTGGTCGCACTTTGTACATTAGTTGGAAATTTGGTCATGTGCTGTATGTTTATAGAAAGTTGACATTTTTTTATACTAAAAACACAGTGAGTGCCGTGCTAGTTTAAAAAAAAAAAAAAAAAAGGGGGAGGGGGGATGAACTGTAGAAATTTGCCTATCGTGTGTTTTCAAAATACATTCCAGAATCTTTGGGGTGGGATGGGTTTGATTTGGGGATTTTTTTGGTTTCTTTGTTTTGTTTTAAGGTACGTTCATGTATGAAAGTCAAAGTATTTTTTTGTTTTGTTTTGTTTCGTTTTGTTTTGTTTTGTTTTGTTTTATGGATTGCCAACCTCAGTTCTGCTGAAAAGAGACAAACTCAGGGGGTAGGGTGGGGTGGGACGGGGAGGGGGGGACAGAACAGAGGGAGGTGCCTTGAAGGCGAAACAAAACCGAGCATGGAAGAGTAGCAATCAGCAGGAGACAAGCGTTGGACAGCGGGACCCTGAAGAACGTGCAGTCGCGGTCGCTCGAAGCAGACCAAACAGGGACTGAGCAGATACTCAACTACTGGTGACTCTGAGGGTGCCTGGGAATCCAAAAATCGTTCTGCACCTCATCCAAACGAACCACCAAGCAAAGGGACACACTCCAGAGACGTTCTCTCAGGTCGACATTTCTTCCATGCCTGCAGACAAGAACTGACATCCTCGGGGGGAAGGAAAAACAGATTTCTTTTACCTCCCCGCGCCCCTCCCGCACCCCTGCCTTCACCTCTCAGCGCTGTCCTGAGACCACAAAAGGGACATTTCCTCACTGTGTCCAGTAACTCAGCAGATTGGCTCCTGTCGCTCAGAGACTTTGTGTATTTAATGCTTCTAACCCGTCATCCCTAACACCTCCATATACCCACCTGGGGAATATCTACATAGCACTATAGGACATTCCTTATTCCTAGTAACTGCGGATATGTTGCTTCTGTGTTTGACTCATAGCCATTTTGCTCCATGTGTATGCCTGCGTGTGGGTATGTGTGCGGCGCGTGTGTGCCTGCGTGCGTGCGTGTGTATATATATAATCGCACCATAATTTATTCAGCTATATGGAGTAGTATAGTAGAAAGAGAAACTGGTATTTGCTTTAACTACCTGCTGCCTGTAGGTGTCTCTCTGTAACTCAAGCATAACTGTTATACATTAAAAAAAAAAAAGGATTAAAAGTGTCTTTGGGTGGCTTGTTTGCTTAACAAACACTCTGCAGCGTGCCAAGCACAAGGGGGAAAGCTGGTAAATCAAAAATATGCACACACAGACACATACTGCAGACGTTTTTGCTAAAAAGCAAAATCGTGTGCTTCATTCGTTAATGAAAATGTACGTAAATAAATAAAACATTTAATTTCACTGTGACTTTCACAAGGGAAGAACAATTACCTGGCCTGTTCTAAATACAACCGTTTCTTTATGCATTCATTTGCAGCAAGCTATTGCACGGGCAGAGGAAGGCAGGCTGCACAGGCCAGGGTGGGACCGGGCTGCCGTGTTAACTCCGAGCTCTGCAGGCACCTGGCTTTCGTTAAAGGCCAAAGCTCAGCATCAACAAGCGGAAAAATATTTTGAAACTGAACGGAGGAATACATGGCTCGGGGCTTCGACAGTCGGTAATAAAGCATTTTGCCTTTAAACAAAGCACTGAATTCAAAAGCTGTTCCCATCTGAAGACGTTTTGGCTCTCCGTAAAATAAGTTGATCTTCATCCAAGTCGTGCTGGATGAATATCCGCACGCAGAAAGTAGCCTAATTAGTTGCTGGATTTTTTTTTTTCTGGTTGCCTCTCAGCAGAGGGATCAGTCCACGGGAGTTAACTGGCGTCCTAAACCCAGATGAGATCATCGTTAGATAAGACATTGCAACTGTGTGAGGAGATGCTGCTCATGCATTTGTCTTTTGTGAGCAAAAAGAAGCAGCAATCTGCCAGCCTGGGGTCTCCCACCGGCACGAGAAGGCTCAGCAGAGGAACAAGGGCTCTAGCATTTGCAAACTCTGCTCGCACCGGCGTTCCTCGCCTCACGTGCACACTGCTGGTCGTGGCTAGCTTCAGAATTAGTCCCTTACCAAGCACTCGCTGAGATCCTTTCTTAACGCTATCCTGCTCCCCTTGGTACTATGTCTTTGAAGAAATACCGAGCCAGTGCCCGGAGCCCTGGGCTTAGGCAGAGACCTTCACTGGAGTTTGTGCCGTGTCGTTTGCAGTCCCCTGGGCACAGCGGGACTCTGAAGCTGTTCTTAGTGCCCGGCAAAGCTACCTTCAGGTTAGGTGGGATATAGAAACCCTGGTCACAGCTCTCCTTTCCGTCAGGGTGAGGGAAAGCATTTTTGCTAAGAAAATCAGCTTCCCTCGCTGAGACAGAAAAGCCTCCTCAGTCCTAGAAAAAGAAACACCAGGCAGTGGAGCCTGTCCTAGTGCAGGTAAAGCGTGGGTGTGACTCCACGCCTGCTCCCGCTGCCTGGATAATTCACTTTTGGGAGGAAAATGGGAAAATGGGGGACGCGCGAGGCAAGGGCTGGCCACCCCAGCAGATGGGTTTGCAGTGGGGCAGTGGGCTGCGGGGCTGCAGGGTGCCTGGCCCAGGGCTGGGACAGCTCTGGGCATGCAGGGGCTGCACAGGCTGAGGCTTTGGTGGGCTCTGGGGGCCTTGATGGGGACCCCTGGAAAATATTACAGCTCTGCAAATGGGGAAAAGGCTGCAAACAACTGCTCTTGTGTGATGCCAAGGGCACGGTGCTGTCAGAAAACCCCTTTTTTGTGGTAATTATGAAAGGGAGAGGCTCGCCTTTGTGTAAGAACCATAACCGGCTTCAGCCGTCAGAGCAGAAGCATTAGCCCCAGCTTCCTAGCTGCATCCTGGGGGAATTATATTTGGCATCTGCAAGTTTTACCCACACCAAAACGCCCCTTCCCACCTTAGATCTGCACTCACTAGCAGCGCTTGATTTTGACTGTGGTGTTTTGGCGGTGGCCAAGCCAGCCACACTGTGTGTTTGCACGTGAAGGGGTTTGTAGAGGAAGGGACCGTCATTTTCCAAGAGCCCTAAAACAAGACAACATTATTTCTAGCCACGTCCCTGTTTTTAAATCTGTGCTGGCCTGCTGCTGAAAAGTAACAGCTTTGTGCTTCCTCGCCAGCCCTCCCAGAAATGACTTTGCTCCAGCAATGGTCACGTTCAGGCTCTGTTGCCGCCAGCCCTGCAGTTGCAAGCGTTTCAACACTGCCCTCAACTGTTCCCTGAGCTCCTCGTCCTCTCTCCTAACGACTCAAACCTTATCTGAGGAGCACAGGATATTTCCCAGGCCTTGCCGGAGTCGATCCGTTGCCCTCTGAAAGACATCAAGGGCGCAAGCTAGCCCACAAGGGAGCTGCTCAGGCCGATACAGCTCCTGCTACAAGTATCACCGGTCAATTATGGCTCTAAGCTGTCGTCAACTTTAATCTGCTGATAAGCCGGTGATAAATCAAATTCAAGTCAATTTGACACCAGCTGCTAACTTTTGCAAACGCATTGCA